TTCCCCTCGATAGCACTTCTCTCTCCCTAAAATCTTTTCTAACTTGAGAGATATAAAATGAATTCTTTGTTTCAATCTTCATTTTTTGTTTACTAGGAGACTGAATTTTTTTTTTAATGATCATTTTTATTACTTACAGCCTGTTCCACTAATTTTCCTGAGGCTAATTCTTCTTGGAGTTTTTGGGCTTTCAGCGTTCGTTTTGCCTAAGAAAAAAGAAACATTTGAAATTTACTTAGTCAAATGAACATTTAATTTTTATATGTGTAAAATGCGTAGGTTTATTGTTTTCAGTAAAGGTCACTGGACAAGGTCATGCTTTGTAGCTCTAGACCTCTGGCTCCTAAAGAGCAGGAGTTACAAGGAATTCCCTGGTGGTCCAGTGGTTAGGATTTCGTGCTCTCACTGCCGAGGGGCTGGGTTCGATCCCTGGTCTGGGAACTAAGATCTCAAAAGCCATGCAGTGTGGCCAAAAACTAAACGAACAAAAAACCCCCCAACTCTACTGAATGCTCTGTGGTGACTTAAATGGGAAGGAAATCTAAAAAGGAGTAGATACATTTATATGTATAACCGATTCACTCTGCTGTACCTCAGAAACTAATAAAGCATTGTAAAGCAACTACATTCCAATAAAAATTAATTAAAAAAAACATGAATGGATAAAGATGATGTGTGGAATATATACACAATGGAATATTTAGCCATAAAAAAAAGAATGAAATTTTGTCATTTGCAGCAACATGGATGGACTTGGAGGGCATTATGTTAAGTGAAATAGGTCAGAAAGAGAAAGACAAATACTGTATATTACTTATATGTAGAATCTAAAAAAATACAACTACTGAATAAAACAAGAAAGAAGCACACTCATAGAGAACCAACTAGTGGTTACCAATGGATAGAGGAAAGGGGGGAGAGGTAATAGAAGGGTAGGAAATTTAAAAAAACGGGGGGTTATTATAGGATTATATGAAATCATGTGTGTGAAACTTCTGAAAATTGTAAGGCCCTATAGTATTTAATGACTCATTCAATTAAAAAAAACTAAATTAAAAAACAAAAAGAACAGGATGAATTGGGAGATTGGGATTGACATATATATACTAATATGTATAAAATAGATAACTAATAAGAACCTGTTGTATAAAAAAATTAAGTTAAAAAAACCCAAAAACAACCCCCCCAAAAAACAAAAAATGAAAATGAGTTGGATTCAATCAGCCGTATTTAAACAGGAGTTACAAACTCCTGTTTGAACCAGGCATTAATGTAAACCGAGTTAGACACCACCAGGGGTAAGCTGCAGAGAACAATCCCTGCTGACGAGGTGCCACCTGACTCAAGATGACTGACCCCTCCAGGCTGGCCCAGGATTACCGCATATTTCACTGTTCAAGAAAATATAGGGCTTCCCTGGTGGCGCAGTGCTTGAGAGTCCGCCTGCCGATGCAGGAGACGCGGGTTCGTGCCCCGTTTCGGGAAGATCCCACATGCCGCGGAGCGGCTGGGCCCGTGAGCCATGGCCACTGAGCCTGCGCGTCCGGAGCCTGTGCTCCGCAAATGGGAGAGGCCACAACAGTGAGAGGCCCGCATAACGCAAGAAAAAAGAAAAAAAAAAAAAAAGAAAATATAAAATTCAGATTTTTATGTGAAATCCATGATTTTAAATGTTAACTCCACTTAAAAACAAAAACAAGAAAAAAGCAATGTGACTATGGTGTTTAAAAAATGGGAGTGAGTAGGTGAAATCATAACAGAAAAAATTTAGGTTAAATTAAAATAAAATTCAATTTTCTGAAACGACTTATCCTCTTCCCCTTTCCCCACCCTGAAATGCTATGTGAGACAACTATAAAACAGGCCCATAGGCAAGATATAGTCTGGGGGCCAAGAGTTTATAAAAGAAAGGAAAAAGCTTTGGACACTAATCTGTTCTAATGCTTCCAGTATTTTTTGCAACCTAAGTCATGGAGTAAAGGACAATATAAGAATGAAATAAAAAGAAATTGCTGCCAAATAGGGCTAGCACACTGTTTATTTCACTATTCAATTAGGCTTACTACTACTACAATAATAAAAATGCCATCATTTTTATACTGCTTGAAGACTCAAAAAATAGAGTTGCTAAATTAGAGATACAGCAAAATGTACATTCTTTAAGGATAGCAGGAAAGCAGTGAACTGTGCTCACCAGATCAACTTTCGCATACTCTTCTACAATTTTCATGTGTTCTTCTGGATTGTAGCCATTCCACCGATCCCGCTTCCCATCATAGTCAAACATCAGCTGAGGCTGGACGTGTTCATCTGGAGCTATATTAGTACCTGTAAATTTTGCTCCAACTCGCCTAGGTCTCTGGAAAACAGAATAAGATTAAACCTTTTCTTAAGTATCTACAGCCCAGAGGAAAACTTCATATAATCTTTACAGAGTGGGTGTGAACATACCATGGGACTTTATGGTTTATTCAATTATTATTTAGTCTTCCAGCAAAACTTTTGATGATGCTAAACTAATTTCATTCAAATTAATTTTTATTTAACTTGTACCTAAATATAGGTAATTAAAAAAACAGAATGAAGCTCTCTGACAGGAATAAAGAAAAAGACTCTCTGACAACAGTTTCCAAAATTCTCAAAGGTGAACTCACCTCAAAGCAGTCTTTCTTTTTGTGTGTCATGGCTCCACAGTTTTCACATGCTCCTTTGCGGTACTTAGTAGTTATGGAATTCTATAAATGGATGTAAAGAAAAACAAGGAAAATTTTTATTTATCTGAATAAGTTCAAAATAACTTTGGCTCTCATTCCTATATTGTCTAGTGAAATGATTTATTCATTAAGAGGAAAACCAGTTAGAATCTCCACTTTTATAAATGAGAAAGTTTAAAGACTTCAGCAATATCAAATTTACAAAATATGGATGCTAAAGTAGTATGTATTGTGAATTTTAATACCACATAAAAGGTCATATAATCTGTTTCTACTTTATATAGTGTTGCTTTAGAGGTTCTTATATTAAGTTCTTAAAATAAAATCTCCATTTTCACACGCATATATACAAGTTGCATACATACCTCTTTTACACCCCTCTTGTACCAGTCTCCAGATGAGCTATACTGCTTTTGTTTCTCTGGCTGTGGTCTCTGGTGCTTTAAAGTAGGCCTTTTTGATGGATCAATATACCATGGCACTGAAGAAATATACTGAGGAATATGAGGATTGATGTCTCTGTAATAAAATAAATTTTTTTTTAACAGAATGAAGTTGAAAAATAATTGATATTACAATTACAAAGGTAGCCTATACAGAATCTAAGAATACAGATACTGTACTGGGAGGAGAGAGGCAGAATATGCCTGTTATCTCTATAATAAAAAACAATTAAAAATAAAGAAAATAATTTATATTAGAGTGAAAAAATTTCCAACAAAGAAACTAAAAATAGTAATATAACTAAAGCAGGAGGAGCGATGAAGGAATATAGGGACCTCTGTTAGTGAGATTAATCTTGTATCAGAGTAAGAAGTTATCTAATAATGTCTAGAGTTGATTATAATAATGGTATAGGTATGTTATTTAGAGATGTGGAGGTATCAACCAGAAAAACTCAAAACAGACTGACAAGTATAGTCATCCCTAGGTATCTGAGAGGGACTGGTTCAGGACCTGCCTCAGATACCAAAACCTGTGGATGCTCAAGCTGCACAGTCGGGCCTCTGTATCCACGGTTTGGAATCCAAGGATTCAACCCATGGCAGATTGTGTAGTACTGCACATAGTTATTGAAAAAAATCTGAGTATAAGTGGACCCACACAGTTCAAACCTGTGTTGTTCAAGGGTCAACTATAGTCACTTGTGTAGAGTAGGACAGGGAGTGGGAAAACTGAAAAGGACTACAGCTATTCATTACAAGTCCTTCATTATTATCTGATTACTAAACCTATACATATGAGTTTGATAAAATAAATAAAAACAAAAATGATGTAAGTGATAAAGATGGCTTCCTGTCAAGGCAAAGGATGAGAAATTGGTAAACCAAGTAGACATGAATTTGAATTCTGAACAGATCTTGCAAAAAAATTAAAGTACTTACTTTCCTTCTTCATCAACTTCTGCAGGGGCATTACCCAATTTTCGCTGTTCTTCTAGCTCCTTCTTCTTTCTCCAGTCCTCTCTGGTCATTTTCTTTGGTTCCTCCAAACTCATTTCTTTGGACCCCGAAAGGGTGGCCGCATTACCTGCATCCATGGCTGCAGCTGACATGGTTATCTGGCCTTCTCTATGAAAAGGAAGAAATATCTATTAGTATAAACTAGCCCTTGGTGAATTCACCAGTGAAACTATCAGAAGTACACTCTAGGGCTTCCCTGGTGGCGCAGTGGTTGAGAGTCCGCCTACTGATGCAGGGGACACGGGTCCGTGCCCCGGTCCGGGAAGATCCCATGTGCCGCGGAGCGGCTGGGCCCGTGAGCCATGGCCGCTGGCCTGCACGTCCGGAGCCTGTGCTCCGCAACGGGAGAAGCTGCAGCGGTAAGAGGCCCGTGTACCGCAAAAAAAAAAAAAAGTACACTCTAATGACACATACTGTGTGTTATACAGAATGTTTCATATTCTAGACATTATTAGTTAACTTCTTGCTCTGATACAAGATTAATCACTAACATAGGTCCCTATCTTCCTAAATCTCTCCTCCCCCTTTAGATATATCACTATTTTTAGTTTCTTTGTTGTTTTTTCACTCTAATATAAATTATTTTATTTTAAATTGTTTTTTATTATAGAGATAACAAGCATATTCTGTCTCTCCCTTCCCACTACAATATCTCTATTCTTAGATTCTGTATAGGCTACCTTTGTAATTGTAACATCAATTATTTTTCAGCTTATGTCTTATTCTTCATAGTGTCTGTAAGGGAAAGGTCTCTTTCCCCTCCACAAAAGTCTTTATATACTGTTGCAGTTTTCCTCTCAACTCTAAGTTATAAGTGGAGAGAGACATACACATGTATTTAAAATTTCATGAGACTCTTTCTCTCATATATATTCCTGAATTCCTCTCTACGTAAGCGTCTCAAACTTTTCTACCACACTAACCCTTAATGAGTACGTAGGGTCCTATCTGTGTTCCTCTTAAAGACTGGATGCTTTAAGATTTACCTATATTCATCGTCTCCATTTCCTCATCTTCTGCTTCCCTTCTCAATCACTCTGATTTAGCTCCCACACCCCTCCCCCCAGTCCAGAGATACCACTAAGTTATCAATGTGCCTAGTCCTCTGGAAATTTTTCAGTTCTCTTCCTTCCCCTTTTGATATATTCTTATCCTTTGGCTTATGTGACACTATACTTTCTTGGTTTTTCTTGTACCCCTCTCGCTGATTCTCCTGAATCCTTTTAAGTTCATCCATTTCTGCACAGTTATTTTATTTTGGATTCCACAGGGGTCAATCCTGGGGCCTTCTTCATCACTCTAAACTCCACCAGAGGACAAGCTCATCTATTTCCAAGGTTTTGATAGCCACGATATACAACTGCTGGCTCTCCAATTTACTTCTCTACTCCAGAACTTCTGTCTGAGCTTCCAATAAATACATTCCAATTGCTTACTTCAAAGTACCTCCACTTAAATGTCTCTGAGAAACCTGAACTCAACAAATCTTAATTCAAATTCATAATCTTCAACTAAAAAAAAAATTCATATCTTCTCTATGAAATCTAATCTTTTTCCACTGTTCCCTCTCTTGATGAAAGACACCACCATCCATCCCTTTTCACAAGTGTTCCAGCTAATTCCCACACCTATTTCATCACTAAGTAACGTTATTTTCACCTTCTGAATATCACTCAAATTCATTTACTTCTACTATCAATAACCTTCGTGTTAATACTTTTCCCTACCAGTCTCTCCCAATTCCCTCCAATCAGTTTTCCACACTGCAGTGTTATTTTTTCAAAACAAAAATTTGATCATATCATGTCCACTACCCAAGCTTAAAACCGTCTAATGTAGCACTGTCCAAGAGAAATATAACGCCAGCCCTATATGTCATTTAAAATATTCCACAGCCATACTAGAAAAGTAAAAAGAAACAGGTAAAATTATTTTTGCAATATTTAACCCAATATACCCAACATATTATCATTTCAACATAGGAAAAAATCTGTTTAGACTTAGAAAAACTAAGTCTTTAAAATCTGATATGGATTTTACACGTATTCAGACTAGCCAACATTTCAAGTGCTTAAGAACCACAACAGTCAACAGCTACTGTACTGGACAGTTCAGCCCCAATGGCATCTTGTAATTCTTACTTTAAAAACCACTGAAGACACAGTCCTGGTCTGACTGGGCACAGGTACTATGACTGAGGCCTAGGACGGCGGCTTCCTTCTAGGTCCCGTTCCCTCCTCAACGTGGCGTTCATCAGTCTCGTAAGGATATTTGTAACAATTAGGAGCCTTTGGTCCACTTCTCGGGGTTCTTCACCCTCACCCACCTCTCTTTTGAAGTTCTCACAATATTTCCCTACCCGGTCCCGCAGCTGCTTACCCCAAGACAGCCGGACATGAAGGAAGCCAACCATCTATGTTTACTTCCTGACCTCCTCCCTCTCCCAGCCGCCCCTGCGGCACCTTCCGGACGACCCACACATGCGCGCTACGAACTCTTTGAGTCTCAGGCTCCCAAGCGGAGCTGGTCTCGCGAGATGTTGAGCTGTGTCCGTTTCTCTCCTGTGGGTCTATAGACTGGGTTAAGTTTGAGCAGCTTTTTTTCCGCTCTGTTCTTTGAAACTTTTTTTTTTTAAGAGTCGCCGCGTCATACGACGTAAAACAAAACAAAGAAAAACTTAGTAGAGAGCAGACAACAGCTTAAGCCTCACTAGAGCGCTGTGAAATGAAGGGGGAAGTGCGTGAAGTTAAAAAAAAAAAGTTAAAATTAGCATTAATTAGTAGCCAGGTAGTGTAACACGCTGGGGACAAGGTAAACACAAAGTGTCTTCCTCTCCTCGAATTTACATCATGCGGAGTGAGAAAGACACTGAATTATTCAAAAATGTATAGTTCTAGAAAGCCGCTATGAAAGGTATACCAGGTGCTATGAGAACATGAGGCACTATTCCGTAATTGTGACACCTCGTCCCAATGTGATATTGTATTTTACCATTAGGAAAAAAATACTATAAGACGATTTCCATTTGGGAAAACAGTAATATTTATGACATCTCAACCTTCCTTTATAATATGAAATAAAATACTGGAAAATATTAATCTTGGAGTAGAATTCCCCTCCCCCCTTTTTTTTTTGGTCCCATCCTCTCTGTTCCGGTCACGTTTTATTTTTCAAAACAGTATGTGTTCCTTTCAAATGTCAGAGTGACATCCTTGCTTCAATAAGAGATCTCATCATAATATAATCTATTTTTTCTTATTAAGAATGTGCAGTGCCTAGCATAGAAATGTAAATATTAATTTTGATTTTACAGGGCAATAGTTGAAGGTACAGAAGTCAGAAAATAGTCTGAAAGTGAGTAGTCTGAATCACTCGCACTTTGCTTTTTTTTTAATATATATTTTATTTATATATTTTTGGCTGTGTTGGGTCTTCGTTGCTGTGCGCGGGCTTTCTCTAGTTGCAGCGAGTGGGGGCTACTCTTAGTTGCGGTGCACAGGCTTCTCATTGCAGTGGCTTCTCGTTGCGGAGCACGGGTTCTAGGCACGTGGGCTTAGTAGTTGTGGCATGCGGGCTCAGTAGTTGTGGCTCGTGGGCTCTAGAGTGCAGGCTCAGTAGTTGTGGCGCACAGGCTTCATTGCTCCACGGTATGTGGGATCTTCCCAGACCAGGGCTCGAACACGTGTCCCCTGCATTGGTAGGGGGGTTCTTAACAACTGTGCCACCAGGGAAGTCTCACACTTTGCTTTTATCTCCTTAAAACAATTCCCAAAATTTGCTTGGAAGTGTTAAGGTGTATTTAGTTCAAACTGTCAGGCACAAGCCAGGGAGCACATCTCTCAGAGGAATTATAGAATGTGCTGGACAAGAGAGAAGAACCTTTTGTAAGGTTCAGATTCCCCCTGGAGGATTCTGAGGAGGGTCTAGGGAAGCAGGGATCAATTCTGGATGGGTTGCTGTTTGATAAACTGGGATTGATTAGGATCTAGATGCAGATATAAGGTGAGGATGGTTTAGCAATTGGGTATCTCCAGTAATGGTCTGGGGTATAGCAGAGTGGGTTTGGGTCATCATTAGTAACGAAACAGTGGTTACTCAAAGAGGGAGTGGTTGTGCATTTTACAGTTACTGCATGACCTTGGGAGACACAGTGCTTTCTGTTGTAGGGGGAAGACTTACCCTAGGGAGATATAAACCTTGCGCCCCAAAACTTCAGGAGATAAAGAATCCCCACTTGGAAGCTGTAGGTGTTGTTAAAGATAAAAGCCACAGGCCCAAAATGGTGTTACTTGTGCTAAAGCCCATGATACCAAACCTACATTTAACACCTAACGTGTTAAACACCTAACAACTTCAAAATGTAATCCCCAGAAATGTAATCCAATCAACCAGTTTGGAATTTCCTGGTCAATACTGAAGAGGTAATATGTCACCTGGACCCTTTCTATCATCCCCTCACCCCCACCCTGCCTCTCAGAGGAAGAAGAGGCAATCAGCTGTAAAAACCTTGCTGTTCCTTGCCCCCTTCCCCGCCCCCCAAAGATGTCCCAGCCTAAAAATAATCCTTTCTATTATTCTGCTAATAGCTCCATGCCCCACCCTTCTTCCTACAAAAACTTTTCAGTTTGTACAACCCCTTGGAGCATGCTTCTGGTTGCTAGGTGGGATGCTAATTCATGAGTTGTTGAATAAAGCCAATTAGATCTTAAAGTTTACTTGATTGAATTTTGTTTTTTGACAGTGTCGTGCAGATTTGGTTTCAAAATGAACACTTTTGTGTGTTGATGTAATATGGAGCTGAGACATTTAGGAGATACAGGGAGGAAATAAGGGGAGGGCTAGGGATAAAGGAGAAAGGACAGAAAAGGGGCAAAGAAGGTATGCATTTTTTTGTCCTTCCTCTTTTCTTCATGATGTCCAGCATTTAATAAGCATTCAATAAATATTTGTTGAATGAATGAGACATTCAATCAATTTTGGTCCTGAAATGCCAGGGAAGATGGGACAATGAACTGGCATATGTTTCAAACCATATCTATGCCAGGTGTAGTGCTAAGCCTTTTGTGAAAGAGTAATGTAGGCTCAACTCCTCTCTCCCAACTTACATGCAAGTTAAAAATTATCTGGTGACCTGTTGGGAGTACGGTTTGGATGACACAGGTCACCCTTGGTCTGTTGAATTGATTTCTTTATCTTGTTCAATATATTTCTATTCACTGTAGAAAGGAAAAGGTCACCAACTTTTTCAAGGACAATTTCTCCCCATATCTTGGAAATTGGAATTCCTTTTGTATATCTTTATTATTCGTCTGATCTTTTTCTCTTGTTCACCCTCTGTCCTTCCCCCACCAGCTTTGATGAATATATTGTTGAGATGTTAAAAGTTTAAAATAAGTCCCTATTGGGACTTGCCTGGCGGTCCAGTGGTTAAGACTCTGCGCTTCCACTGCAGGGGGCACAGCTCGATCCTTGGTCTAGGAACTAAGATCCCAAAAAAAAAAAAAAGTACACTCTAATGACACATACTGTGTGTTATACAGAATGTTTCATATTCTAGACATTATTAGTTAACTTCTTGCTCTGATACAAGATTAATCACTAACATAGGTCCCTATCTTCCTAAATCTCTCCTCCCCCTTTAGATATATCACTATTTTTAGTTTCTTTGTTGTTTTTTCACTCTAATATAAATTATTTTATTTTAAATTGTTTTTTATTATAGAGATAACAAGCATATTCTGTCTCTCCCTTCCCACTACAATATCTCTATTCTTAGATTCTGTATAGGCTACCTTTGTAATTGTAACATCAATTATTTTTCAGCTTATGTCTTATTCTTCATAGTGTCTGTAAGGGAAAGGTCTCTTTCCCCTCCACAAAAGTCTTTATATACTGTTGCAGTTTTCCTCTCAACTCTAAGTTATAAGTGGAGAGAGACATACACATGTATTTAAAATTTCATGAGACTCTTTCTCTCATATATATTCCTGAATTCCTCTCTACGTAAGCGTCTCAAACTTTTCTACCACACTAACCCTTAATGAGTACGTAGGGTCCTATCTGTGTTCCTCTTAAAGACTGGATGCTTTAAGATTTACCTATATTCATCGTCTCCATTTCCTCATCTTCTGCTTCCCTTCTCAATCACTCTGATTTAGCTCCCACACCCCTCCCCCCAGTCCAGAGATACCACTAAGTTATCAATGTGCCTAGTCCTCTGGAAATTTTTCAGTTCTCTTCCTTCCCCTTTTGATATATTCTTATCCTTTGGCTTATGTGACACTATACTTTCTTGGTTTTTCTTGTACCCCTCTCGCTGATTCTCCTGAATCCTTTTAAGTTCATCCATTTCTGCACAGTTATTTTATTTTGGATTCCACAGGGGTCAATCCTGGGGCCTTCTTCATCACTCTAAACTCCACCAGAGGACAAGCTCATCTATTTCCAAGGTTTTGATAGCCACGATATACAACTGCTGGCTCTCCAATTTACTTCTCTACTCCAGAACTTCTGTCTGAGCTTCCAATAAATACATTCCAATTGCTTACTTCAAAGTACCTCCACTTAAATGTCTCTGAGAAACCTGAACTCAACAAATCTTAATTCAAATTCATAATCTTCAACTAAAAAAAAAATTCATATCTTCTCTATGAAATCTAATCTTTTTCCACTGTTCCCTCTCTTGATGAAAGACACCACCATCCATCCCTTTTCACAAGTGTTCCAGCTAATTCCCACACCTATTTCATCACTAAGTAACGTTATTTTCACCTTCTGAATATCACTCAAATTCATTTACTTCTACTATCAATAACCTTCGTGTTAATACTTTTCCCTACCAGTCTCTCCCAATTCCCTCCAATCAGTTTTCCACACTGCAGTGTTATTTTTTCAAAACAAAAATTTGATCATATCATGTCCACTACCCAAGCTTAAAACCGTCTAATGTAGCACTGTCCAAGAGAAATATAACGCCAGCCCTATATGTCATTTAAAATATTCCACAGCCATACTAGAAAAGTAAAAAGAAACAGGTAAAATTATTTTTGCAATATTTAACCCAATATACCCAACATATTATCATTTCAACATAGGAAAAAATCTGTTTAGACTTAGAAAAACTAAGTCTTTAAAATCTGATATGGATTTTACACGTATTCAGACTAGCCAACATTTCAAGTGCTTAAGAACCACAACAGTCAACAGCTACTGTACTGGACAGTTCAGCCCCAATGGCATCTTGTAATTCTTACTTTAAAAACCACTGAAGACACAGTCCTGGTCTGACTGGGCACAGGTACTATGACTGAGGCCTAGGACGGCGGCTTCCTTCTAGGTCCCGTTCCCTCCTCAACGTGGCGTTCATCAGTCTCGTAAGGATATTTGTAACAATTAGG